TAGCCAGTTTCTCTTCTTCTTTCAATGAAATATGTCTAAGGCATTGCAAGTTGGACAGTGATAGTTCATTGAGCACGGGAAAGCGGTAGTAATGATGACCTATGTGGAAAAAAATTTCAGATACAAAAATGAGATGTATTTCATTGAAGTTCCCTATATGCAAGGTTCCAAAAATTTGCAATATTTGAGCTTTGAAATTGAGAAAGAATTTGCTCTGTTATCTGGATTGTTAAGCTGAAATACTTTATCAAATAAAAAATAAATAATATGTGTTTGTCCAGTTAAGACACTATCTTAAGCTACTCTTCAGCAAAGAATCGCGGCGGGTAAATCTGGCTTTTGGGATTTGCTCGAGACTGGAGTAATTCGCCTACGTGATTGGGTAAACCCTCTTTAACTGTTTGCTGACGTTTTCATGTGATTAGTAAACTCAAATGTTGGAAAAATAAACGTAAAAAAGGGAGATAATAGTTTATTCTCTCATATTACTTGAATTGTTCAAATTTGCACTGAAATCAGAAAGGAGCAGTTAAACTCACAAAGGAAAAAAAGAAGAAAATTACTTGCACTTAGGCATGCACGATATTGTCTAAAAATAGTGCATTTGACAAGAAGCCAAAATCATGCTTCAGTTCTCCGTCTAGAGTACTGCATACGAATGTAACAGATTGCGTTTTCATACAAATTCATCGTGCTGAAGCATGAAGGCAACTCAATATTTTTTGAACATTTTCACTTGCATTTTTAATTTATGAAATTTTTCAAAAATATCGTTATACTCCATGTTAAAGGTGCGATCGATGTAGATGCCCGGATGGATTTACTGGTCAATTTTGTGAGCAAGTTATGCCTGGTTATGGAGCAGTATGTGGTGGGAAGATACAAGTCAATACCGGATGGACGAGAATTACTAGTCCAGGATACCCGCGAGAATTTAAAGAGGGTAAGCTAGTAAAGTTCTAATTTGGGAAAATTGTTAGCTCAAAAGCTTTTTAGGTCAGGAATGCTCATGGCTTTTGGTAGCTCCACCAGGGCAAGTGGTTGAGATGCAATTTGTTGGGGAGTTTGAAATGTATTGTAAGGTAATATTGGCTTGGA